ACCCTCTTGTTCTTTAACATGCTAAATAAGTTACATTGCATGTGCTATGATAATTCTAGATTTTAACTGAAATAGTAAGCATAAGATTAATTTGTTTGAGGGCTCAAAATGAAGCAACTTTTTTTGAGTAATCAGCTTAAAAATGTTTGGTTTATGTTACAAATCAATATCCTCTAACTCAATGTAGTTTGTAGTTGAACACAATTTTCATCTCCAGAAGGATAAAAGGAGAGACAACAGTGCATGCAAGACGAGAGAGTTGCGGGGAAACCGGTGGGAATTCTCTAATAAAAAAAATATTTGCATTTGATCAATAAATAAAAGGACATATATTGGTTTGGTTTAATCTTTATTTGTCATTGAATGTGTCAGGGCTCAGTTATTTGACTTAAGGCAGGGTAAAACATTGAACCAGTTAAAATTAAAACCATTCATCTTTGACTAAAATGTGATTTATAAAAACAAAGCTAGTTAGTTCATTTTGTAATTAAGATGCCTTGAAATGTTTAGTACATGCACTGTGAAAAATATTGTTGGTTTAACTTAAAAAATGAAGTAACCTGGTTAAACTGGAAAAAGTGAGTTAATACAATGAAGGAGATTGATTTATTCATCAGAAACTCAAAATAATAAGTTATCTGAACTAAATAAATTATTTAAGTTGATTTGACAAAAGAAAAAATGTTGTGATAACAAATCTTGAAAATATTTTTTTACAGAATGGACCAGCCAAGAGATTTCAGACAGGAAGTTGATCTCTTGGGAATTCTAAAGGAAATGAGACTTGCCAACTTTGATGTATTAGAGGGGACACTGGAAATGTGATTCTTGATCAATGTGATTTTTGTTTAATATAATCATTTTGCATTAACTCAAATCTATCCATGGCTCTACATTTATTTACTAAATGTATTGTGTTCATTCCAGGATTTGTGCTGTTATTGTTGTGAAAATTTGTATGGTTTTGTTTTTTGTTTTCATGGTGCTGGCCACCTCTTATTAATTCTGAGTATGTTTTGTTTGAGGGAGTTGTTGTACTTTAGGAAAAGTGGTGTTGAATTTTGTCCTTTGTCAGTTTGAGAGGCTCAAGATCAGTTATGACATTTTTGGAATACTGGATATTTCCTGTGATGTCATTTGAATGGAATTCTATTTGTTTGATTTTTTTTAGACTGTTGCCTTTTTCTTCTCTGATGAGGCTTGATTACTTTTTATCTTGGGTATTTGAGATTAAATCAAACTGTCACAATTGAAGACCACTTTGCTCCCTGTTTTGTGGCGATGGACTCATTTTTTAGTTGTGTTTTGCTAAGGCTCGTGGCAGATCCATCACTATTCTAGAGGCTGTTTCACACCAAAGGCTCTGTCCCAAATGGCACCCTAAACACTTGCAAGCTGTGTCCCAATTCAGAAGCTGCATCCTTCGAAGTCCACAATGGTTGGAACGAGTGTTGTTGAATGGCACATTTCTGTTTCATGCCGACATGCGGTCACATTTACCAGTACACATTTTTGCAGGCAAATTCCAGTCATGGAAAAAAAAGTTTTGCGTGCACAGATTTCACAACAGGTTCCAGTTGGTCATGCATTCACTGCATTGACCAACAGAAAACTTCATGGTTGAATACTGACTTCTGAATATACATATATATGCATGTGAGCAAGCAAGCAAAAAAAAAAAAAAAAAAAAACAAACAAAAAAAAAAAGTCAGAGGGAAGAATAAAATTAACATTTGGAGCGGCACACAAGGGGAGATTAATCAAAATCAGTAGTTTACTAGATATGTCAATACACATTTTTCTTGCGATTTTAGTAGATTTGATCTTTTTCAGTGAGGTAAACAAAAATTTCAAATATTTTTTTTAAACCAAAGGAAGGAGAACATCTCCACTTACTGCAATTAATATGATATTTACCCATAAGAATAATCATATTGACTAAATCTGATACTGATGAATCTTATCCATATAAAAGAGGATGTGTGGCAAGGTGGTGAGAGTAGGGATAGCTCGGACCAGAAGTGATGGGCACGGGGGAAAAAAATGTGTTCAGAGTCTCATCAGCCATCTCACAAAATACACAAGGGTCTATGTCCAATTTGAATCTTTTTCTAAGAAAGTCAGCGACCGGATATATCTTATAAATTATTTTAAAGTGAGTCTCTTTGACATTTTGGAAAATGGGCCATTTAATAAATTTAAAATGTGTTTTTCTATGGGCAATGCAACCATCGGAACCTGTACACACAATCCTCTGTTATAATCAAAAAACAATTTAGATTTCAAAGCATCAATTTGAAAAAAAGCAATATCTATTATTACATAAATTGTCAACTAAAGTAATCAATTTGGTAAAGTTTGTAAGTGTCATTCTTGTATATAGGCCTAACAATGTCCTTTGAATTAACTGTTTAACAGTTTCAATTAACAGAATTTACAGTTTAAATTATATTTGCCTAAGAAAGAAAAAAGTTACCATCTATAACATCATTCACAAACACAATGGCATTTTCATACCAATACTAAACAATGATTTCATTGATTATAATGACCATATTAGCTCTGTGCTTCATGCATCTCTAGTATTGGCTAGCTACTATTAGCAACAGAGAGAGGACTTTTTTTTTTTTTCAGTTGGATCAAGTGTGACATGTCATTCACACAGCACTGAACTTACCAGTTTGACTGCAGGTCTTAAAGAGGCTATCTTATTCTTTGTAAAGGAATGATTTGTATGTTTCATTTCTTAAATAAAGGAATGCATATATGCATATAGGATACTCAAAAAAAAAAAAAAAAAAAAAGATTGATTAGATCTGAACTTGAGCCCACGAGACATTCTCATTTAATAACAATAATGGCCTACCTTCTAATGGTTACTAATTAATAAAAAACCAACTGTACACTATAATGAAAATAATTAAATAAATAAATAATTAAATACTTAAATAATTAAATAATTAATAAATAAATTCTTCAATTTAAATAGCGACACAATCGCACAAAAAAAACCATTGACAAACAATGACGGCATCAGTGGACTTCATATTCCATGGTCCTTTGTACCTCTACAAGTCTACAATCTCTGATTGGTTGCGTGCTTCTGGTAGGCGGGAACAATGCTTTATGGGCGTGCTCTTACATTCCGATTAGCTGTTGGGGATGTCAATCATTAGGGTAATTCTAGTGTCTGGTTTCCTGTGTTACCGCCCTTGGGCTGAGACAGTGAAGACGGGTGCGGGAATTTCTTTGCTTTCCGACCAAGAATAGGTCAATAAAGAGTACAACACTTGCAGGAATTTTTCTAAGGTAAGAAATATGCTTCCTCCTCTCTCACCGGGAGGGTTATGTCTAGGTGGAGTTCACAAATGTAGAGGTTTGTGTGGTTCAAGAGTTAGCTGGCTAAGCGCTCGAGCGCTGATATATATCCGTATGAGCGTGAGCAGATGGGCCAACAGTTTATGATATTAATATTACAATGATCCAAAACTATCAAATGATCTTATCAGCATAGCGCCCTGATCTATACTTCGTAATATGTTGAAACGGATACATGATCAAAACTAATTACCAAATGCTTCACTGATTTTATCAAGGTAACACTTGAGACCATATGTGAGATGGGCACCCCTGATAGTAAATAATACATGTAACGTTACTGTAAAAAATACACACAAATTTGATTCAGTGTGGTTTCTCGTAGTTGTATTACAACATACCTCAATTTAATTTCGCAATGTAAATTTAAAATATGATTAACGTTACTACTACATCCTAATTCATAATTTAGGACTTTCGGGCGTTTTGATCGTTTTTAAAAAGGAGCTGTGTAAATGGAGTTTTGTATTATTGTCCATGTAGGCTACTGTACATGATTGTGTATAATGATAACGTGAATGCTTAAAAGCATATTGTAGACGCTATAGCGTGCACGCGCTGATGATGATGATGTGGTCTCGCGCAGGTCATGGCTGTTGCTTAATTGTATATTTATAGTATAACGTTATTATTATTACTATTAGTATTATTTAGCTGTCTGGCACAGAGCGAGCACAGCTGTACAGTATGTGAGCCCTTGTGTCTCGTTATAACGGGTGTGGTCTTCACCCGGGGCGTGACTCTGCGTGGTTTTACATAACTGACTCATGGGATTTAATGCATACTAGTATAACACACTATAGTTCACTTTCTGTAAAGACATTATTGAAAGTAAGAGAATGAAAACGGTTCCCAAACAAACATGTGCTGCTTGAGAGAGAGATGCTGATGGAGGAATTAAAGAGCTCCATTGTCTTTTTATGTCATAGTTTTTATTAATAAAAACTATCCACCTGTCCGTCTGTCCATCCATCCATCCATCCATCCATCCTCATTGAAGGCTGAACATTTGTTTGTAATGGATTTTTCTCTTCCTAAAATGGCACTTTAAAGAACACTTGTCTAAAGTATTGATTGCCTTGCTAGATGTACCTCTTACACAATAAACATTTCAAAACCCACACCCTCCATCTGGGTTCCATAAGCCTCAGCCTCTGTCTCTCAGAGGAAGGGCTTGATGAGAAAGAACCAAAGAAAAGATTCTCAATGTTGTCACTGTCAGAAGCTAATTTTAGCTTTTTTTTCCCCTTTCTAGAGTAATCAAGGAAATGATCTCACATTTCCTCTTTTGAGTTTTGAGTGAATAAGGAACCAATATTGACACCTGTAAGTTAATGATATACCCTATAAGTTTGTGGTCAATACCGGTCTTTGTCTCTTTTATTAAGTCTCTTTTTGATGATCATCAAGCCTGTCATAATTTGTTAAAAAATACAGAAAAAATGTAGGCCTATATTACAATTTAAAATAATGGTTTTCTATTGTATATTGAAAATAAAATGTATTTCTGTGATCAAAGCTGATTTATCATCAGCCATTACTCAAGTCTTTAGTGTCACATGATCCTTCAGAAATCAGAATAAAAAAAAAATATTTTTAACTGAATAAGTATTCAATTTTTTTTTTAAAAAAAGAAAGAGAAAAATACAGATCCCAAAATTCTGAATGATAGTGTATATTGTTACAAAAGATTTATATTTAAAATAAATGCTGTTCTTTTTTTATTCATCAAAGAATCCAGAAAAAAGTATCACAGGTTATAACAAAATATTAAGCAGCACATCTGTTTCCAACATTGATCATAAATCAGCATTTTAGAGTGATTTCTGAAGGATCATGTGACACTGAAGACTGGAGTAATGATGCTGAAAATTACATCCAGCAAAGTAAACTTTCAGGTTGAAGGATGATTCTCACAAAACTGTATTTTCTGCAAGCTTTTTTCATGGTTTATTTTGATAAAAAAAAAAAGGACAGTTGGAAACTCAAATTGCTTGTGCCATTTTAGATGTTCAGTTTGATAAACTCCAAACTAAGATCATTGTAGGGGCGAAAGTAAATTACTTGAATGATACAATTTAATGTGCCTCAGCCAGGAACTTATTTGCATTATTTGCATCAAATTATTTTAACCTAATAAGGATTTTTTAATAAATCGCTAAATATATTTTAATAAATCGCAATGCAAGGTTTCGTGTGGACTGTGGAGTGTTACCTACAACTCTACAACAATAGACATCAAAACAATAGAAATGTTGTCTGTAAATAAAGACAATGTGACTTTGAAAGTAACATTAAGTAAAGGTTATGTAATTATGTGGTTATGTATTTTCAAGATTTGAGCTGATAAAAAAAAAATAATAATAATAATCTGGAGGAAGTGTCTGAATTTGAGCTCCAGAACATTCACTGATGTTCGTTTGTGTCGTGGTTCTGACCTTTTACCCTGTGTCTTTTCAATCCTTATTATGGATTTGTCCCATAATGCACTTAAAGAGCAGGACTGGCTTCGTCTGTTTTGTCTGTGTGCCGGATTAAGAGGCGTTGATGAGGTTTGTCTGATGGACCATCACAGAGAATAACTAACATACCGTAATCGCCTAGTAGATGAGAGAGGAAGTGGGTTGAATAGGTTTCCCTGCAATACAACCACGGACACATCTAAAGAGTCTATGACCTAAACTGTAGTGTGTGCCGCAAACATTTTCAAGAGAGAGCTGCGAAAAGTGGAGAATGGTGGACTTCTTGCCTTGTTGACAACCAATCCAAGTTGTGAGTGATGCTCTACCAAGTCCCAAGGACTTTTCTATCCCTTCAGAGGTGTGTGTGTGTGTGTCTAAAATGAGAAGTCATCCACCTCCGCAGAGCTCTCTTTATTATGAAGGTTCATGGGGCGCGTAGATCTTGGCTATGCACAGAACGATTTTTTTTAAGCAGAAAATTAATAATTTTCAAATGCATTTACTAGTATCTATATAAACCACTATGTATTTTATAATGGCATAATTATACATGTAGCCTACATTAATATGTTTTAAATAGAATTACGATTACTGTAGGCTAATATAGTAGCAGGGCATTCAGTTACATTTGAAAGGACAATAATAAAGTGTCAGTGTATTTCATAAGACTTTAACTTTGCCAGCTATATAAAAAAATCTAGCATTTCTTCACGTTTTGCCACTGCTTTTTAGTGACGGTCGATATGCATGGGACATAGAGAGCCTAAGTCCCTCCCCTTCCGGTCGACCACCATGGGACCTTATTTCGGAAAAATATTGTATGGTAGTCAATGGCGAGAGACATCAAATATTTTGATCTTGTTTGAATTGCACATATGATCTTTGTCAATTTATAAGATACATTTTAAAGTAAAGAAAGTCACAGTTTGATGTAAAACCGTTGAGGTATAAGACTGTGAAAATACGTAATTACAAAGACTACAAACCCCAAAGGCGCACATTTTCTCTCAATGAATGAAGCTAACTTTGCTGAGGCTAATTGTCATTGTTTCTATAGTCTTACGGTATAATCGTAACGTTACGCCGTCATAACTGAGTGTTTTATACCAGACTGCACACACATGAGCAGAGGATCTCGTTTCGCTTCCCGGGAGATGTAGTTCATTGAGCGATTTTCACATACAACTAAAAGTTACTCTTCTGTTTTATGACAAATGGCGACGTTTTCGACTTGCAGAATTATCTTTTAAATTGACAAACATCATATGTGTAATTCAGGGCACAGTTCAGACGGAATAAAAAGATAAGTTGTCTCTCGCCATTGACTACCATACATATTTTTTCCGAAATAAGGTCCCATGAGCCGGAAGCGGAGGGGCGGGACTTAGGCTCTCTATTGGCGATGACAGTGATGGCCATACCCACTCCCATACCTCCCTTCTTTTCACAGCCATCCACACCCATTTAAATTGCATTTTTCAAAAAGATTGTGAACTAGACATGAGCTGAAAAGAGGGCGGTTTCATGACCCTTTAAATTCAAATAAGTTTGAATAATAAGTGAGGATTAATTGTCACAGGAATAAGTATGTAACATATATTTCACTTAATTAACCGATTAACAAAATGGAAGGGAAAAAAAATTGTACGACGACGAGTAGCAGCCTATATGCTGAGTTTGGATCATTTGTGACGCGCTCCGTGAAGTTCACTAAAAGGAAACTGAGGTGGCAGAAAGTGGTTTGTTGTTTTCTTTATTTTATAAAAGTAAACATTATCTGTATGACCAATTCTATTTGACCCATTTAAAAAGAGCCATTTAAGTAGTTTCCACTGTTATTAGTAAACAATTCAAGTGATCTCAGCCTAAAAAAGGCAACCAAACTAAAAGTTACACTTTTCTCTAAGCATATTTGAAAGGATGATGTTGATGATTTTCCTTTATTTACTGGTATTTTACATAAGCTAATATATAATAATAAAATGTGACTGGTTTAAAATGGGTTCAAATGGACTCTCAAAACCTGAATTTTATATCTATAGCATATATTTTTTTAACCATGCAGCAAATCTTTCTTGAAAAATTACTTTTTAAACCGTTTTACCGATAGTATTAATCGATCAATATTCTTACTGTCGGTTAACTGGTCAATTATGAGTAGGGTTGGGTATCGAGAATCGATTATCGATTGGAACCAGGACTAACTTTTCGTTTTTCCCGGAATCGTTCAAAAGTTAAAATTTCAATTCCTAGTTTCGATATTCACAGTCCGCCGAGCGGAAGAGGAAACCGCTGAACAACACCAACGAAGAAGCGTCTACCGGAAGTGTTGGCATAACCGCGCGAGTCGAACATGAGTAGCTTACGTCGGCGGTCCAAAGTGTGGCTTCACTTTTCTAAAAATTAACGAAATCTCGGCAAAATGCAAAATTTGTGACAAGTATTTGTGACAGAAGGAGTATTTCCTTCAGAAAGACCGTTGGTTAGCAAGGTTAGCTAAACTTTTTTGACCCTGCCTCTTAAAAGAATCGAAATCGAGAATCGATCGGAATCGGAATCAGAATCGTTCAAATTCAAACGATACCCAACCCTAATTATGAGTATCCTCACTTTAGGTCATTTTGGATTTGGAGGTGTTGAGGAAATGGAAAGAAGCTTGTGGTTAAGGATCTTGGCTGGTTTGATCTGAGGGGTCAAAAAGGATCCTGAATTTGTTCCAGTTTTAGCCATTAAGCCACATTAACCCCTGGTTCAACTGTTCCTTTGTCTCCTACAGTAACAAGAAAAATTGTGAGTGGGGAGCTCTTCAGTCAGCTGCTGCTAGTATATAATGTCCCTAATGCAGCTTTTGCTTGTTTAATTGAGAGTTAATGTGAACATTATGGACGTTGACCTTGTGAGGGTCTTAACACAGTCTTAAGATGAGGTGAATAAGCTGACATCAATCCTGCTGAGAAGCCCAATGGTCTTTTACCGGATTTAACACTGGTTTTCTTAGTATTAGCGAAAGTCTACTTTACTTCTCCATTAAGCACTCATAAGTTAGACTGAGTTGTACATAAAGTCTTGCAGTGATTTGTTCTTGAATTTGGCTCAATGCAATAGTTGCACTGAATTTAAAACTCTTCATGAAAAAACATGTTGGTTGTTTGATGCATTGATGTCGAGCTTGAATTCTCTCACAGCTTTGGCACAAGCGCCGGTTAAATACAGCTCCGTCCAACATTAATACAGCGTTTCATTCCCAATGCCACATTTACTCTAAACTCTTCAACAACGTTGACTGCTAGGTTTAGTTTCATTACTCAGTCAAGAGCTCAAGTAAATGAGTTGTAATTGAAACGAAGAAATTCTGTAATTGCAGGGTCTGTGAACAAACTATAATCTTGTGATGTGGTATGTCCCAGGGTTTGTTATTATATACTTTGGCAACATATCATTTTTCTTTAGGATGCCCTGTTTTTAGTCTCTGAGTCATGGGCAAAAATGACTATTTATTCATGAATTGATGAATAAATTATATCAGTTATTCCTGCTATATTTTTGGCTGCTGGAATTTCCTCATGTTTTAGGGGTCTGATGGCTGACTTGAGCTGGCAAGGCTTTATTTAGGGTTCCCTGTCTAAAACCATAACCTTAATCACAATTCACAAGCCAAAATCAAGACTTTTTGACTTCTGTTCCATTTAGCAATGATGACTCATATCTTCACTGAAATAGCCTGATGAAATAGCTGAGGAATTTGGAGATGGTGCAGTTCTGCATGGGAGTGAAGTTCAAAGGTCAAGGTGTTTCCATATGGGAATGAGAGTTAAGAAAATTAAGTTCTAGCCTGAGGTTAAAGGTCATGAGGGGGAGGCTTACATGGGGAACATTTGCCGGATATCACACCGAGGACACGTATTATCAGTTCAGTAAACTCGCTCTTCTCTCGCTCATTGATTAGTGGAAAAAGTAGTTCTTGTCTCCTGCATTTGTAGTGTGTGACAGCCCCCTTTAGTGTCCGCTTCAACTTCTGGTGCAGCGCAGTGTATGGAAATTGTAAAAAATGAAGTACAAAATTAGACCTGGAGGCGTTACGCAACAGAACAAAGCAAAAATGATCTAATCCACCTTAACACTAAAGGAATTTAAAACTTCTGGAACTCATTACTAAAATGTTATGGTTTAATATAATATTAATGTTATGTGTTATTTGTTAATAATACACTGCTTGGCCAAATATAAAAAGTCGCTGTTTGTATTTAAACAAGCAAATACTCTATAATAAATAGTCTATAATTGGGTCGTTATTGCAGTGATTTGTTTTCGTAATGTTATATGTTTGGCAACAATTATTTAACCCGTAACTGATGCACTGTAGCTTTTTATTTCTTTTATTTCGGATGATGTATCCCATGGCCATAATCCAGGATGACAATGCCAAGATTCATCGGGCTCAAATTGTAAAAGAGTGGATCAGTGAGCATGATTTGGTCACCTCAGAGTCCTAACCTTAACCCCATTGAAAGTCTTTACGATGTACTGAAGTAGAATGAGCAGATCTTCTGTAGTCAATACAAAATCTCTGACAAATTAATTCAACTATGACGAATGCATTCTGTAATCAAAGCTAAAGGAGGTCCAACGAAATATTATAGTGAGCGACTTTTGTTTGCTACTACCACAATTTGTTATGGGAGAATCATATACTGGAGATTTTAACAGCAATAGATATGTATTTAGCATACATAGTTCATTGCATGTGAAAAAGCCTTTATTCTGATGGGAGGACATGTTTGCATATTTATTAAATTAATATTCCATTAGTTAGTCAATATCATGAATTGTTTTGCTTTGTTGCGCTCCAAAATGTGTAACTCTCAGAGTTGCCACAACGGGCGCTACACCAGACGTCAGTCTTTTACGATCAGTTTTCTTTCTCAGGTCTTCTATCATGATAACAGTTTGAAGAATATCTTGCTGTGCACATTAGTTGAACTGTTGACATTTATATAGTTAGTTAACTGAATAACATGTTTTTCTGTTTGCAGACACTCAATCAAACTGGACCACAGTCTTTCTCTGACGGACAGTGTGAATCATGGCTCTTCCTTTTAAGAAAGATCTGGAGAAGTATAAGGAGATCGATGAGGATGAGATTTTGGACAAGCTGTCAGAGGAGGAGCTCAAGCAGCTGGAGAGTGCTCTAGATGAGATCGACCCAGAGGTGAGACACTTTTATTCACTCTTTCAGACAGTTTGACAAAATCTATCTAAACTTCATTTAGCGGTAACGCTTCCTTTTACAGTCCAGTTACCCATGTAAATACTATGTACTTATTTTAGTAACTACAATTACTGGGTAATAACTAGTACTAACCCTGAACCTACCCCTGTTCCATGTACTTACCTTATATTAGCCAGTACTTTCTAGGTAAGTACACTGTAAGTACTGTACTGTAAAAGGAAGCGTTACCCATTTAGAAACTTGCCACGTGGGTCATAGTTCACATCCGGACAGGAATAAGTGTTTGTTTGAATGGCCACATTTCATATAGCAAATCATAAAGATTGAGTTCATGACATTTTAATTTGATTTTGGACATGTTTGATGGCTTCAGCACTAGAGGCAAAATTATGAACTCCATATATATTTCCATGCATTTGTGTTGATGTCTTCATCATTGTTACTCAGTGGATGGAGATATACCAGAATTTGATTGCACTGCTCAAAACAAAGGGATCATTTATTAATGTTTATCACCCCAAAATCTGAATGACCTTTTCATCCTCTGTGGAACATAGCTTAAAGAAGATATTTTGAAGAACGTTGGTATCAGTTTTGGTGACCATTGACTTGAAAAACACTGAGACATTTCTCAAAATATCTTGTTCCACAGAAGAAAGCTACAAGTTGAGTAAATAATGACAGGCATTTTTGAAAATGTACTATCCCTTCCTGAAGCTCTTGTGTGGAAAATCAGTCCTAAAGATGGGAATTTAATAATTTGATGTTATGCACGCAGAGCAAAAAAGCTTAGAAAAAATCTGACACAAACAATCAGCCTTTCATTTCTGGTAAATTGCCAATAACATGGTGGTGATGTAATTCACAATAATGTTATTGTGATTATGGGTGTGGTCATATGTTTGCACTGCTGTGATAGTGTTGAGAAATCATTTGTTTATCAAACTTGTGAAAATAGCCATTTTCCAAACGGTGTAATTCTGCCTTTCTGGAGTTTCTGTTAAGACCTCTGATAAACAACTCTCTATCTGTTTGTTTATGAATAAACAGAGTTCAAGTTTGCTCCCAAACACAAGAGCCAAACACTCTTCAGCAAAAATATCTCAGCAGTTTTTTTTTGTTTTTTTTCATATTAAGCAAAAATGTGTCAGTAAACAACACAATTCTGACATTCTGTGTTCAGATCAATCTATGATCATTAGAAAACAGTGTGAAAATTTACATTTCTGTTCCATACTATAATTGGTACATCTGTTCTGAATCCATTACCCAGAATGCTCTGCTGCCAGCCGGACTCAGGCAGAAGGACCAGACCACAAAACTGGCCACCGGTGCTTTTAACCGTGACAAACTCCTGCAGTATCTGGAGAAGGAAGCTATGGACCATAAAGACCGAGAAGATTGCGTCCCTTTCACCGGAGAAAGGAAAGGTACAAAAATGAGATGAGACGTGTTTGATATCAGTCTGGTTTTTGATACAGCAATAAACATTACTTTATCAGAAATGCCACTCGTGAAATATCCATGAGGGTCCAGGTCTTGAAGATTTGCTGCATTAACTTATTAGTAGAGTTTCTTAGAATCAGAGTTTGTATGACTCGGTAAAGATGAGGGTTTAAAAGAATCTGTTTGATTGAAGATCTGAATTGTTCAGTCATCATTTAATTTCTGCGACAATTTCATAACTCATATGAAATCATAAAAATGACTGAGAAATGCTGTACACTGAATCCTAATTGTCTGTCTTCTCTCATAAAACAACATTTTTTTGGTGTAAATTTAAAAAAGATCAATACAAAATAATGTTTAAAGACTATAAATAATGTTAGAAAATAATGTTATGCTGTCGATTAAATAAGCTGTTTCCTAACTAAAGCAGTTTATTCTGTGTACTGAAGCCTCTTCTCCTTTGAAAAAATGGGTAACACTTCCTTTTACAGTACAGTACTTATGTGTACTTAAAGTGAGAAAGTACTAGCTAATATAAAATAAGTACATGGGTTAGGGCTAGGTTAGTACCTAGTTATTACCCAGTAAATGCAATTACTATAATAACAGGACTGTAAAAAGAAGCGTTACCAAAATATGACCCATTGTATCGCAGCTTTACATTTATTTTTTGCTACAGTAACATTGGTGGCTTGCCTTAAAGGGTACATATCATGCTTTTAAATCATTCATTTTTACTTATAAATCATACATTTGTGGTCTATATAAAGCATAACTGCAATGCTTGGGTCTGAATTCCTCATTATTATAGCTCCACAGGCCCCTTTTCTACCCCTTTTCTGATGTGCGTCTGTGAGCGACCTGTTTCAAAGCGGCCCCTTTAAATAAAATGGAATAAAAACGCTCTCCAGATCGCTGAGTTCACACTCGGTTCAACTCCCCGCGTTCGGCCATTATTGTAGTTTGATTAGAGATATACGATTATGTACTATAGCTTCAAAGAACATTTTTAGTCACTCGTTAACAAAATGTCAACAACGGAAGACTTGTCCATCAAGCCTTACATATTCGAGCCAGAGCGAGTGATTTGAAAAAGACGACGACGAAAAAGATGACGACGAACCTGTAGAATGTCTTCATATGGATGCAGGGGTATGTAACGTTAAGTTAACTATGTTGTGTTATTAGTGAAAGTCGACTATTTCTCTTGTTAAAACAAGCACACTGACAAGATAAATGACTACGGTCCAATCTTACCACTAAAAATCTGTATTAATAATGATATAATAACTTGCGTGTAGAAAACACAGCAGCTAAATGATAGAAGGAATTTACCCCTCATTCAGACGAAGTCGATCGGCAAACCCTTCTGTATACTGGTGGAGGTTGTTGAAGTGGGGATCCTTGAAGTGCTTCCGGTCACTACATCCAAGAACCGAACATTTTGACTTGCCCTCTTGTAACTTCTGCATCATTGAGCTTGGACTACAAAATCAGAGCGAGAAATAATAATGGCGGATTGCTCGAAGTGTTGGGCCGGTAGTCAATGTCCTTATTTGTCAGTTCCGCTGCAAATACGATGATGTGATAAAAATCTGAACAGGTTGAAAAATATTACCAAAACAGAATATAATGATATAAACGAAGCACCTGAAGAGAATAATTTCATCTTTTCTGTACTTATAAACACTCCAAATATACAACAAAATGCATTTAAGGGCTAAAAAAGTGGATTTTGCATGATATGTCCCTTTTAAAGTGACCCTGGTTATGATATGTCTATATGTTTATTTGTCCTTTTGGAGCTTGACCATATACATCACTGTCCTTTTTTGTTTATATGAAAAGGAAAAGTTATACAGGTTTAGTGTTAATAAATAACATTTTCATTTCTTTGAGTAAACCGGTTCTAATAATGCTGCATCCAAAATCACATACACTCTGATTGGGTTCTTATTTTGAAAAAAGTACATATTTTTATGTTTAAACAGTCACACAGTATGTTCTGTATAGTATGAATGTACTACATTCGTCATGTTGTCATGTGACCTCCTCCCTCTTCACTGCCATTCACAACTCCTCTCCCCTGGTCTCTTGGGATAGTAAACTGCCTGCTGAATGCGCACTTCAGAATATCACCAGAAGTAGTAGGTCATCCAGGAACTTTTTGTGAATTTAGACATACTTACAGTGTGTTTTGTCTACTATAGTGCTATATTGGGGAATATTTAGCCATATTTAGATCCAACCATTGAGATGATTGGTTAGGGGACCATAAGGGGTCATTCTATCATTTGGCTCAGTGTTGGTCACTGATGTTTTGCTGAAGTTTTTAGAGCCTGGTTGTTATACTTGTGACTCACTGCAAGTGTGTGAAAGCACTGATATACTCAGGACAAGGTTATTTGCTTGGGGGTAAAAAGAAGTTTGAAATCGCTTCAGGAATATACTATCTCGACGCCGCCTGCACTGGTGAGAGCTGCGTTTAGATGAATATGTAAACCTGCTGCACGCTTTCCTCTCAAGATCAATGTAAACACTCAGTAAAAATTAGAGCAGTAAGAAAACAACAGTTGCAAATGAGCTTTGCCCTGATTTAGTTTGAATTTATATCACACCACATTTGTTTCTTTTATTTGGTTTGAAGAATATCGGGGCCTTGACTCTTCCATATCCTCCTGCTGTGTGTGTGTTAGTGAGAGTGCTGTATCAGCTCCTGTAGTGATTTAAATTCTGCTGTCTCTGCATGTATGATTAGTTAATACTGTCTGTACTTGCATAACCACACACACTGAGGCTTGGATGCCCGATATCTGTATGCGTTTGTGGGATTGTCTGTGTTTGTATAAACATGTTGGCTTGGCACGTGAATGCCCCATTTAGTAAATACAAACTGCTTTTTATCTACTGAAGCTGCTGAGATACATGCACTCATTCACAGCTCCATGATGCCGATAGTGTTGAGAGAGACAGATGTTTAATAATAAATTATAGTGTCTAAGTATGTCCATGTAGATTTAAGGCCTGTTCACACCATGACGAATATTTGGTGCGACGATTCTGTGATAAACATTTTAATTTGAATGAACGGCTGTTACTCTTCCTCTGTCTTTGCTGTGTTAAGAAAACTGGCCAGCCAATAGAGTGCCGAAGTTACGACGTCACTCTGTAAGCCAAAACGCGGAAGCGATTAGCATTTTAGCACTCCGGGTTCCCTTCGCTCGAAAGCCTAAGGGATTTTTGAATGGGTTTTTGCTAAATCGCCTGAAATAAGGTCTGTGGTGAACAAAACCTCTAAATATTTTCACGTTTTGATCTATGACATAGAACACACAGTTATAACCTGCTTGTGGTTTTTTAAACTTTATTGTGTCTGATTGTGTTTTTTAAAATCTTTATATAGGCTTCAAAATCTATAAATTTTGGATTAACTTGTAAAGATTATCTTGCTAAACAAAATGTGTAAGGGTCACAGTCCTTTGTTAAAGACAGATCTTATTTTTTGCGATTTTCCAAAAGTCTATGGGGAAAATGCATAGCTTTTCGACCGACGGAACCCATGCGCCGCTAGCTTCCAAGTTGTCCTACAAAGTGACGTCATCACTTCGGCACTCTATAGCATTTGTGCTTTTGGTCACATGCCTGCAGAACCATCAAACTAAGACTTGGTGGTGCTCTTAAGTTTTGCTAAATGACCGTGAATAGCAGAGGAAGAATCCGGAATAGGCTCTCATTCTCTGTACTCCTGTATTGGGTGTTGATTGAGAAACATTATAGTGAATACATAAAAATGATTGGCTGTTTAAAAACAGTGTTCGACTTCCGTTCTTCTCCGTTTTGTGTCTTGGAGTAACCAGGGTGTTTCTGCTTTTCTATAAACGCCACTTACTGTCAGAGCCCCAAACTGCATACATCCACACAAATCACGAACAGAGCTGAAGTATAGTTTTGATTATAGAGAGCCCTCCCCTTCCGGTCAAATATTTTGATCTCGTGTGAATTGTGCCCTGAATTACACATATGATGTTTGTCAATTTAAAAGATACATTTTAAAGTAAAGAAAGTCGCAGTTTGATCTAAAACCGTTGAGGTATAAGACTGTGAAAATACGTAATTACAAAGACTACAAATCCCAAAGGCGCACATTTTCTCTCAATGAATGAAGCCAACTTTACTGAGGCTATTGTCTGTCATTTGTGATCTCACTCGTTGTTTCGCTTCCTGGGAGATGTAGTTCATAGAGCGATTTTCACATAAAACTAAATGTTACTCTTCTGTTTTATGACAAACTGTGACGTTTTTGACTTTCAGAATTATCTTTTAAATTGACAAACACCATGTGTAATTGAGGGCACAGATCAGACGGAATAAAAAGATAAGTTCTCTCTCGCCATTGACTACCACACATATTTTTTTCCGAAATAAGGTCCCATGAGCCGGAAGCGAAGGGGCGGGACTTAAGCTCTCTATAGGCGTTTGGCTTCTGACATGCATAAGCGGTAGACCAATCACAACAGACCATCTGGCCAATCAGAGCAGAGTAGCTTGCAGAAAGAAGGGATATACAGTGACTGATTTGTCATTTGAGAATAATTGAAAAATGTTGTGATGAGCAAATGAAACAGTTTTTTAAACACCTGATGCATGCAATCCTGTTGTGGGAGACCTCCAAAACAAAATTGGAAGCCTTTAAAATAACATAATAGCACTTTAAGGTTAGTGTGTAGTTATTACTTGGCTTTATTTAATAAAAACTCTAGTTTATATGGTACGTCCTAAATTTAGATTCATGTGAGTTTGCTTGCCTCTCTTGTTGTGCCCAGCCCAACTTAAGTTGTTTGTTCTTGCTAGGTGTCTTCCATTCAATCAGTCAATGAATGATTTTATGATAATTTCCTGTGACTCGACTGTTAATCTCTTAACTGGGCAGATCACATAAATTGATCAAATTTCAACAAGATGTGGGCCTACTTTAAGAATT